TGAAAAAATTTTTGAAACCGACCAGTCCATTACTGTAACTAAACACCATGTCTAACATGCAACATCAAAATCTAGGAACGATTTTCACTCTTTAAAATTCATCTTCACATTGTCAAACTATTACGAACTAATTCTTATACTTTGACTGCAATAGCCACCTTACTTGTTTCACGGAAGTTTGTAAATGCAACGATATGGTTGGATACGTTACCGAATACAGTCTATCAGAAAGTTTGTAAACAATGACCTAATGTTCGCAGTCTGTCTGTGATGGCTATAATTGGCTGTATTAGCTGGCTTACAATCCAATCAAATCACCGAATTCAGTGATACAAAAAATAGTCGCTATTGCAGTCAAGGTTAACGACGATGTTTGTAATAGCTTGACATTGTGAATATGCCAATATGCGTATGGAATGAAATTACCTTTGGCTTCCAATTCAGATGAAACTCGAAATATCTTTGCTAATTTTAAACCACCAAACATTATTGTGCAAGTCACAGCCGTCCAAACACCAATTGATAGTAACCCAGCCAGCTGGTAACCCAATAACTGAAAATTATAAAACCTTTATCTCTTAGCAATGAAAAGTTGACGTGGTTTTTCTCCTTATAGAGTAAGAATTGCTGCAACTTAGCAAAGTGAGAGCATCACAAAGATCTAGAATCCATATTCTCTAATGTAAATATTACTAGTGTGATGACAACATTTTCTTGTGGATGGAATAGAATTTTCATTTTGATATGCGATACGGGTAACCGGAATTGTTGGTAGACAAAAAAGTCGGACGACTGCAAATTCACAGAAAAATGAGATAAACTTACCAAACCAGATTCATTATCGAAATTAAAAATGATGCCCCTTTCTTTGTGCAAAAACGCTACAGCAATAACTCCCCAGGAACCACCACCGAAATGGACTGAAATGATTGCCTCTAAATTATTATGCGTGTTCAGAATGAATAAACTCATTAGATAATTTCAAAAAATTGGGAATAAGGCCAGATAAGTGAATATACAAAGCATCAAGAGAATTTAACTGCCCTATATTATGCTGAATTATTTACATCAGAGTCAGATGGAATAACAAGTTGTTTATTAATATACCATTGTGATGGTCATTGGTCACGTGAACATTTTACAACTTTTGGGTCAAGCAGGGATCAATGCATATCAATTCTATCTGCTGCTTTAGAAGTAATACATTTCTAGTTGGGAGTTCCCCTTTTCGGAAGATATGAGTTAAGATATGCCTTCAACACGTGTGTCCTCATCATGGCAGCTGAATAGGAAATATGGGTAAAAAGCTTACTCTGGTCTTAGACAACAATAAATCAAAGACATTCAACTCATATCTACTGGAGCTCAACTCATGCTGTCGCACATGTTCCGGTTAGAGAACCCTCACCAGGATACATGCGTATTTGATGTACTTCAAGACTCACCTGCTACAGCATCAAGAGGATCATCAATCCACAGTTTAGTTACAGACCAATTGATCAGTCTATATGAGATGGCAGCAAAGAATCCGACGATGCAAGACGCCCATGGATAATACACATTACAACCAGCACATATAGCAACCTAAAATAGAAATAGCAGCTAAAAACACCGCAATGAGGGATTGGTTGAACCAAGTGTATGGTTCCCAATCCATAAGTGGCCGCAACCCCAAGGAAAATATAAAATAAAAAAAAATGTTCAAAAGTAAGTATCTGAAAGGTTACGTAGTATTAAATACAGACTGAAAATTTTTAAATCTTCTATTAACAAGCATTGAATTGACATACAGAGGGGTCTGAGATGCAGGTGAGCAATGCGCATTCCCGGTGGAGTGGCCCCAAACAACTTAAGTCAACGGGCCTGCACTCATTTAGTTGAGCCACCATGATTAATTGCCGCTTGTGGCCAAGTAATTATGTCTTAAACAGAATAATAATTGTACCTACCATACCAGCTAAAGCTCCATTAAGTGTCGTCAATAAACTCCATTTAGAAGTACCAACAGCTCGGTTGATAACTAATGTAAAAAGAGCGGAGGTCGAACCGGATATAACTGTATTCACCACAGCTAAACTGATAGCTGAACCATCTCCAGTTTTCGATATGGACAGTTGTGAGCCACCATTAAATGCCAAAAATCCAAACAATAAGATAAAGCCACCAAGAGCAGCAAGCTGAAGGAAAGGTTCATCATCTAAGGTTACAGATAGTGTCACGTATATGAATCATTTTAACACAGTTTTCCCTCTGTCAATAATGCAGGTCGGAGGAGCTAGTAAAGCGTCTATAGTGGTTTGAATTGGACTGTTAACCAAACTGCGCACATTAAATATCCCTCAACAATTGGAAATCTATGTAGAAAATAAGTAGATTGATGTCGCTGTCAAGGCAAATAGGACGTTAATATCAATTTCAAACCTTTTAACCTTCAAATGATATAATGAAAAGTTTTCACGTGTCCCTATATTTATGTAATGTATCTGAAAGTCGAACTTACTGGAACAGAGTGGCCTCTTATAGGAGCAACAGTTTTACTGCTTTTATGAAATCTACCCTTCCTTGGTCCAAGAAAAAATGCAGCAACGAAAGCCGCTATACCACCAAGAACATGAACAACACCACTTCCAGCAAAATCCTAAAATACAACTCGCTAAAGGGATTGTAAAGAGGTTTTCTAATCTTTCTGTATGTGTATCGGGGACACTGCTATCATCAATATGCACTATGACATTGGTCAGTCAGACGTCTGTGTACATATAATTTTTTCTTAGAAAACTTCTTTACAATGCCTTTTATTCGTGAATGTGGCAACATTTAACAGCTTTTAAGCTTTTGTATATTATGAATTGCAGAGCTTATAGTTGGCTTCTTTAAAATCTAAATAAAATTGTGCAAATTGAAGCTTAGTTTCCACTATACACAAAACTTTTTGTAAGTTATTGAACTTTAAGTACTTTACCCACGTTACTATTTACGCCATGAGTAATATTAAAATACTATTGAGGAATACTTACCAGGTAACCTAAAGTAAGTAACCAACCCTCACCATACCAAACCCAATGGGTAACCACTGGATAAATAAATCCTATAAATAGACCCAAATACACTGCCTCAAAAGCAACTGAAGCTACGTATCGAAATGTTCGGTTGTCTAGTATTCAAGATTTTGCAATGGATACCAAAGTTGACTGCTGCAGGTTACTCTCGGTCAATATAAAAAAATACTAATTAAAAAAAAAATAACCAACCTGTGATAAGAACACTGTAAATGATATAGGCTATGAATTCACATCTTTCCGCTACGGCCCCAGACACAATCGTAGCCGCGGTTGCAGCAAACACATACTGGAAGAAGAACAGGGCAAAGTCCTCTTGAGGCATATCGGCTGATGCCCAGTACGAGTAACCAATAAACCAATGACCTTTACCGAAAGCGAATGCATAACCAACTAACCAATATGATATACCAGCAAAAACTGAAATAAGGGATAAATATTCTGGTGAGATTAGAGTGAGCAAATTCACGATCAATTAAACATTATACTGATCATGAGATGAAAAAAACCTATTCAATTTTCGTGATAAATTCAGAAAAATGCGTCTTATAAAGGATTACTACCTCTTAGAATGGACATAAAATTCATCAACTTGATCAACAAGTGTATATTATTTTCATAAGGTGTATCTATCAGATGCCATGACAACCACTTTTTGGATAATCCATCGAGAACTTGACAGAAAGTTCTAAACACGTATATTTAATATAACCATACAATTTTTTCGAGCATTCTAACACTTTCGTCCATCTTTGGCAATTTTCATGTGGGATTTTTCCAGTGATGGTGAAATTGAAGGGGACATAATTCATTCGAGTAATCTTACTCGCTTTGCCGAAACATTGATTCGCATGCCATTTCAAATATGAATGATCTTTTGTAAAGATTATAGGAGATAGAAGATGGGGCTTAACCATTTCTCTAATATCAATTTCAAGTCAAACGGATAAAGATAGCTTGAAAGGCAAAGTAACATACGCCCACTGCCAGCTGTCAGAAATGATAACATATTTAGTGACTTAATAATGAATTTTCAAATGAATTCTAAAATCATCAAAAACCTGAAACAATTCATAAAATTATTATCAAATTCAAACATGAACAATGTCTCATCGCTATACAGACAAGGACAATAACTCTTAATTGTTCATCCGATTATCACGAATTTCTAACTTGACCGAAAACTTATCAATATATACATGTATATCTAGTTTCATCAAGATTGGGTAAAAACTGTAGTCTCTATGTTCCTGCAAGCCGAATTCGCCGCGTTTTTACTAAGTCAAGGGCAATAACTCTGAAACCATTCGTCCGATTATTACCAATTTCGAAATTGACTGAGATCTCATCAATACATATATGCATACCAAGTTTCACGAAGATCAGATAAAAAAAAACTATAGCATCTATCGCGCCTACAAGAAATGTGAAGACGGACGGAGACGGCAATATACGTCCACATTTCTATATAAAAACATGAATGATCAAAATGTAGTTTTAGGTGCTATAATAGACATATCGGATTAAGCATTATAATCTTTCAGGGTTAGATTTATGCATGTGTTTTTTGCTCTTATTATTACCATAATAAACTGAATGGGACAGCGATAGCTGTTGAAATTGTTACAATCATAACCATAAAATTGGTTTCAATCTGACACAATGACTCCATTTTCTCGGTTCGCAGATTCATTATCCTTGGGAAAAATCACGTTTGTTTTGTCAGAATACAAGGCCCATTTAAAAAGGCCATCCTCAAAGTATACAAAGCATGGGCTGGGCTCAAAGGCAGAACTGATTATGTTCAAAATCGCCCACTTTGCACTTGACACGTGATAAGGGTCAGGGCTTTCATGAATGTACTTAATAAGCCTTCTGATATGACCAAGTTGTCCTTGAACTATATATTTTTTGTTATATAAACACAAAGTATGTCAACACCCCCGTAAATGGTGAAGCATGACCTAGACGGAAAGCTGCTATAAGAGTCCACTAACTTTAAAGGGATTCTTTCAATTAAGCGTTTTATGACGTCATTGTCGCAAAAGCTGCTATTGATATACAAGGACCTTGTAGATTTCAGATTGAAAATTGGGATGGTGGAAATTGATGCTATCAATGTCAATAATTTAATTTAGATACCCAGTTTACAATCCCTTATATAGTTATAGGGTAGTTATAATAATCTATAATAATTGCACCAACCGGAAGTAAAAAAAGGACGAGAAAATAAAAATTAGCAATATCATGGATTTTTCGGTCATGTCAATATCATAGAATCATCTCTTTTCTTAAAATGAAACGAAACATATTATTTTTTTGTTATCAAACAAAACCTCAAAAATAAATCCTCATTTCTTCAGGTTCAATAATTCCCTTCTATTTTATAAAACATAATCTACATCATTGATACATGTAAATCCCATTTTTGCGCCATATTTTACTTCCGGTTGGGTGTTTATTGCGGTTGGGATATGATAATAACCCTTATACATGAGATGTGGCCAATGTCTAGAACAGACTCTGGAAATCCCTATGTTATTATTCATGTAACATGGTGCAGAAGAGTAAGACGTAAAACTCCATTTATTTCATTTCATTTAATCATTCATGTAAAGTATTGGCCTGTCTTTCCTTAAAGGTATACTACCTCTTAGGACGACCAAAAAATCGAAATTTTTAAACTACGTCATAAGGAGTCACGCTTAGAAACTTTGAATTTTATATCTATTCTAAGAGATAGTATTCCTTTGATTTAATTTAACTTCAGAAAACGAACAGGAAATTTTGAAAAAGTATCGTCCTGGGTTGAATATGCATGACGTTTGTTACTGAACTGTTAAGGATGTCAAAATCATTTTTAATGATAACACATATTTCATGGTCGAAGTAATAGGCTTTGAACTTTATTCATTTAATAATAAAACTATTTGTCTGTCTATGATTGCTCATCTAGATTGTATTCAAACAATCAAAGTATAGTGTACTGAGTCCAGTGTTCTGCTCTATTTAATTATGTTTTTTTTTAAGGAGTGAAGCCTGTGTTTGAACTTTCTGACAACTGAGTACTGTATATACGGTTTTGTGTAGCTAAAAGCAATTCATTACATCAGAGGGTTTTCAACCTTTTTCTATCTATCCCCACCCCTTTTCCCCTATAAATCATTACAATTCCCCCTTTCCCCTATAAATCATTACTACCCCCCCTTTAAATCATTACTATTCCCCCCTTTCCCCTATAAATCATTACTATTACATCCTTCCTCCTATAAATCATTACTATTCCCCCCTTCCCCCTATAAATCATTACTACGCACCCCCCCCCCCCCCCTCCATAAAGCATTACTATTCCTTCCTTCCCCCTATAAATCATTACTATTACCCATCTTCCCCCTAAAAATCCTAACTATTTCGTGATCGGCTCTTAGGTTTTCCTTGCAATCTTTTACATATCAGAGAATATAGGCTGACTGGAGAGAACGACTAACATTATGATTGTCCAAAAATTTTATTCCACAAATTTTTTTTAGACTACAAAGCGCCTCATTAACCTTTACTGTACAAATAAGCGAGATATCTAGCGGATATATTAATCTTTTAGGCAAAATTTGTGACCGTGTGAAATTTGGAGCGCAGAAAATATTTATTTGTTATTGGGATATATCAGTAGGATTCCACTGACCTAAATATGATCTATACACATGAATAATCAGTATAAAATGTAACTGGTGAATTAAATCTCATAGGACAATGGCTATTTTAATAAATGCTCTTCAAGAGAGTGATTTTAATTATTTATACTGAAGGGATTGTAAAGAAGAGGTTTTCTAAAAAAAAAATATGTGCATCGGGAACACTGATAGCATCAATTTGCACCATTCCGATTTTCAATCAGACGTCTGTAGTTTTTGCAATTCTGCTAAAACTTAAGTGTTTTATGTAGTAACTTATCGCGAAATTTGCTTTATTACATAGGGCTCTTCGCCTTACAACCGCAGGAACAACCTCTTTACAACCCCATTTAAAGCAGGTGTTTTCAACCTTTTTCTCTCTGTTTACATCTTGATCCTTGATCGATTGCAATACCCCATTATCCTATAATTACTCACTATTTCAAACTTTTCATGTCGGAGAATATATCCTGACTGAATAGGGCAATTTATGTATAACTGTCCCAAGATTCGATGGGACAGCTGCATTAGTCTGCTCCCAATTGATTTCCAACTGTACAGGGATCTTTAAACTGACATGTGCGTCATTTTTTGACCAATCATACTATAGTCTCGGAATCAGGATTTATTTTAGCTAAGCCTATCAGTAATAGTGTTCACAGATCACCGTTGATATTTGGGCCTTCAAATCCATGTGTGTCCAGGGTTATCCGCGCTTGCAAGTTAAAAAAACGAGGAGTCTTTTCTTGAGATACTGCCATATATCTATAGCAATGGGAAAAGAAATTCATAATTTCAGATATTTTTTGAAGAATTTTATTCGATTTTCGTATATTTTTAGTATTTCTGAAGACTATTTACATATATTCAAGACTCAAATCAACACCCAAAAATCGCGAACCTATCCCTTTAACTTGCTCAGCCTGTAGCATACGGCCCCAACCAACGACTAGGCGCCTTTTCCATGTCAGCCCCTCCGATTTGCTTCACTGATAAGGGGAAAGCGGGTTGAAAAATAAGAAAGTATTATCTCGAGATAATAATACAAGAAGTGTGAGTAATTTTATACCCAAATGGTATACCCAAATACCTGTATAAATATTTATAAAAAATATAGAAGTTGACTCACATTGATCCATTAAATTTTTAATCAAAATGTTGGTCGAATTTTTACTTCTCACTGCACCAGCCTCAAGGAATGCAAAGCCACATTGCATCACTGAAATTTAAAAAGAAAAAAAGAGATATATTTATCATATTTGCATCCTAATTCTAAAGTTGACAAATGCAGAAAGCACATGAAAAGGTTTTGTCCTGTGTCATATTAAATTTTAGTCATTTTTACCCATAGAATTTTTTTCAAAAATATTTTTTATAGATAACTTTATTTTCATAGTGTTTCATGTTATGTTTTTTAAGGTTTTCCGAATTCCAGACCCAAAATCAAACACCGAAAAAGGCGAAGTTGTCCCTTTAATGTGAGCATTTCATTTTATTGTCATATACCCACTTTATGACGTACTTGAATAAGAGGTTTAGCCAAGGAGCCTGTGATAGATAGGATCCTGAATTTAAGATGTTAAAATATAAGCCTGGTTGTTTCTTGTTTTCTTCCTTGAAGTGAAATAAAAGATAAAAAGAGGAACATAAACATCATCATCAACACAGCGTAACAAACATGAAAATCCTTTAGTTAAAGTTAAGTGACCTGACTCATTTTTCATTTTTATAGACATAAGTCAAGATAGGATACAACGACAAATCGTTCAATGGATAACATTTTTAGTACAGTAGTCAAAAGACCCCAAGTAGCTTACATGTTATAGTAAGGACACACGATAAAGGTGTGATGCCCGGCCTGCCATGAACACTCTCACGACCACGGGAATGAATGGCAGCCATAGTTTGCTGGAACTATATCCATATTGTTACAAGATCATATGTTAAGACATCAGAGGCTGGTCGTTCGAGACTGCTAGTGTGTGTAAAGACAAAGAAAACAAAACACTCGTACGATGTGTACATGTACATGTAATTAGAATTAAAATAAAATGTATAGTTGGCTAACCGATAGTCACAATATAATGCAGTTATTGTCAGTATGATCCCTAAAGGTTTTTAAAGGGTCATTTTGCTTTTCGTAGTTCGACAGATTTTTTTCTCAGATTTATGAAAACTATATTTAAAAATCTAGACAAATTAGTCGCTGGATTTATCTGAAAGCTTTAATTTATAAAACCTTCCGTTAATAATTTAACGTCAAAACTGTTTAAAAAGGTTTACGTAAACGTTTTAAGAATTTCAGGCATTTTTGGTAGCTGTTAGAAAACTAATATTTAGATTTTAACAAAACAAAAACGCCTTATTTTAAAGAAATATGTCTCCTACGTTTTCGAAAGGTTTCAACTAAAAATATCGAGTCTTTATGAGGCATCACACCAAAACTTGTTTAAGCTGTTTAATTAACAATTAGTACTTCCTGTTTCTAATTAACAATTAACCATAAATAAAGTAAATCAGTGTTAGGAGATACATACATGTTAATAACATATTTTCATATTACTATAACCTTGACAATCACACCTATATACCTGATATAAAGAGGACAACATGACATAACGCACGAAGATTGCCGAATGATGTCACAAATACCGTTCCAATTCAATGGAAGTCACGAAGAAAATAATTACAAAAAAGGTACAAAAGCTAATGGGTTTTATGATAGGAGATATTATATAAATCAAACTTCGTCATATACCAAAACATGTTTTTCGTCAAAATTTCTCGTTTAAAAGAAACTCGTCCCGAACTATCGTCGTATAAGAGTTTAAAAGAAAACTAAAGGATGTAAATTCATTTAAAAGCGGACGATCTGCTTGCAATCATGAAACCAGTTACCTTTCTACCAGACCCCCACCCCTGCTTGCAACGTTTTAACATCGTTGACCCCCTGTTCCATCACAATTATATGCTCGACAATATTTTGTCACTGATATCTCCTGAAGTGGGGACACAATAATTTGACTTTCACGCTGCCTTTTTGTTAAAAAATATAACGTATATTATATAGATCTCTTATTAAATCATCCTTGAAGCTCACAGATTTTCTCACAAAGAGGTTTGATAATGTATTTTCGTAATAAAAAATAGGTCGACCTCTTTGTGTGTTTGTGGTAATGGAAGAGTTATTTCGATTTTTTGACTAATTATATCTAAGTCTCAGAAACAGGCATTTTTTTTTTAGCTAAGTGATAGTGTTCAAAGCCCACCGTCTGTATTTGAGCCTTCAAATTCATGTGTGTCCAAAAATATTCTTGTTTGAAAGGTAAAAGACGAATCGTCTCTTCTTGAGACACTGCCATAGAAAATACATCTATAGAATTAGAAAACGAAATTCCTTGTTTGAGATCTTTTGGAAAGAATTTTGTACATTTCTAGTACTCCTGAAGACTATTTATGGGACCGACATATATTCAGTACTCAAAACATCAACCCCATTAAATGGCACATCTGTCCCTTTAAAAGAAAATTTAACATAAGAAAATTAACAAAGCAATAAGTAATTTGTTCATGTATATCCTTGTACGAAAATATGCTTTTATACTAGAAAATATAATAAAAAAAAAAGAAAATGACCTTGACTTAGGTTATAAAATTAAAAAAAAAATCAATGAATGCATCACCCTAATCTAACCCATGGCAATACAAGATTATGAAGTCCTATCACAAAAATCCTTTTGCTTTCCCACAACAGCAACTATCAGACATGAATAGCAAACGAAGTCTTAAAATCTTTAGCGAGTTCACAAGCCAACTTCGAATCAACGAACAAGGTTGAGCAGATTTGTGCCGAGGGCAAAATACACGAATCTCTAACCGGAGCCGCCTCTGTTTCAGCCTCTCCACGACAGGGCAGATCGGTTGTACAAATCCCAGTTATTACCTCGACCTATTGTTGAATCAAAGCCCAGCTTTCTAAATGGAAAAATGAACAAAATGATCTACAAACTGATGTTGTGATACTTAGCAAAAGAATATATGGATCAACATCTTTATATGTTTAATCGATCATAGAATCAGGTGCAGAAACTCTGACGTTATAAGGGACACACCACTAAGATCTTTTTCTTGTCATATGTAAATAAATAGAAAAAAACACTTTTTGTTTGCGTCCAAAAAAACCTGCGTTGAAGAGGACAGGAATTTGATTGGCTGGTGGTGTCATACAACGAACAAATGTTTGGCCGTCTATAGACCCTCACTGAAGTGGCTATTATATAAATAAAAAAGCTAATAAAAACGGAATCAAAGTTCGGTCTAAGTTTAATTGTTGTTGTTTATGAAGCTAGCACTCAATCCCGCCAAAAGAAAAAAAGATACTTTACGTCACAAATCCACTGAAATTCTACAGTAAAGTATAATTTTGAACATGGAACTACAGAAATAAGACATTAATTCAAACTTATCATCATTCGAAAAGGTCATGGAATTTTTGTTTCAATTATATAAAAATACATTGCCGTAGCCTTAATACCACGTTACTGTATGTATATAAAGTTCAAAGAATTGCAGTTCATGTAGTCAAAATTGGACTTGAATATTAGGAAATTTTCTTTTTTCTTTCTTACAAGTCAAAATGACCATATTTTCTATCCAATATTTCCTATGATTAGCTAAAAGTAGAATTTATCACTGTGAATCAAATCAAATCAAATCAAATTATATATTTTTCGGTATAATTTCCAACCAAATTTAGAAATAATGGCGATCTGTATTCCCTTAATGAACTAACGCCATTTGCAAGATCAATTTGAAGTCTATAACCAGAGCAGTTTGAATTGCGCATAACATTTTAACCGAAATTTAGCTAAACCCGAAATTTATTTGACTTATTGCTAATCAAAATTTCAATCTAAATTTTTAATTAAGCCTACGTCTTTTTCCTGCATGTTGAGACGGTTATAAAAATGGTACTTACGCAAAACGATCATTCCGTTTGTTAACAAAAAGAATTGATCCAAATTTGATTGTAAGGCATTAAAATCCATTTCCATTTGAGTCATGGTATTATTCATGTCTTTGGTGCCGTTACTTCCATCCATTTTGGGAGTTTATGATAACTTTACAACTCTTCACGATTGACAATAAAGGATTAATACAATTTCACTAGTGTGTAAATTGATAGGTCTGAATTCTTCATGATATGCTTTAATGAACACTTCATGTATTTATATAAATTGAACTAGCCATGAGTGACGACAGTGAGTTCAAATTCAACCTAAGTTATTGCCCTTGACCTAACAAAAAAAAAACATAATTGACTGTTTGACGTAATAAGAGTTTTTTTTTTGGTGTGGTAATAAGTTAAATGTGGCTTGTGAACGCGATAGAGAGTGACTATTGTTAGGGTTTGGGTTTGACAACGCTTTCTTTCATATTATATGTATTTATATAGAAGGCGCTCGATTGGTGAGTTCTGCACATTTGGGATTCATAAAATCAACCAGACGTTAAATACAAGTTGGATCAGGGTTCCACGTGTGCCTTAAATATAGTAGGAGTATAGACAGAATTAAAAATGGCTGAGAAAGTATTACAGATGAGTACTTTTTTTTTTTACACATATTCAATGAACGGATTTTCAGCTATTGTCCTTAACTTCAGTCTGCAGAATTACATTGTATTGGCGAGAGAGACTATAGCTTTGATCAGATTTTGTCAAAACTTGGTACGCGTTGTAAAGATGTAGTAAAGATATCGGCTTAGTTAAGATTTTGAGTTATTGCCCTTTTCTTGAGATAGGTGATTGAGGCTACAAATAATGCTATTTGGTGATCACTTGTTTCTGTATATTTCCATAAACTTTATGCAGATTAATCAGAGGAAAATGACCATCACAATATTACTGGATGATCAAACGTGGATTTCTTAAAATGATTGAGCTTCTTGATTTTGGATATTATAAATCAACCATTCTCAATCTCCATGCATAATGGTTGTATATGGTTTTGCTTGTTCAAAGATATGGTCTCCATGAAACGGGAATATAAGTCAATCAGTAATAGTGTTCATAGCTCACCGCCGAAATTTGAGCCCTCAAATCCATCTGTGTCCAGAATTACCCGTGCCCCATATAAAAAAGTCATCTGTAGAAAAAGGAAAAGAAATTCCTTGTTAGGGATATTTTTTGAAGAAATTGTGTGATTTTTGTACATTTCTGGTACTTCTGAAGACTATTTACAAATATTCAAGACTCTAATCACCCCTTCCCACAAAAAACGCATCTGTCCCTTAAAATGATAGAAAAGACAGTGTTCGACTCTACAAAAAACTTCAACTGGGGTATAATTGGTGAACCAATAGCATTAAATATATATAAGTGACAGGTTTATCTCCTAAAGGCTTTAAATAAGTGATGTTCAACCTGATTTGTACGTAACCTCAAATCGAATCAGCATGAATATGATGTCCAAAAATATGATTGGATTACCAGGGACGTTCTCGCATAGTTTGATAGTAATAATTCTCTGAGTACTCCTAAACAATGTTAATTAAGGCTGAGTATAATGTAGTCATCATATGAGATGTTGTATATATTGTACTTGGAAAGTTTTTATTATTCACAGCATGTGACTGGCTGTGACACATCAAATGTCCCGAAAGAAAAGTGCAAATGTCCCCACCTTGGAACATGTCCTTGTGGTTGAAAACCTACGCTCTAAATATATGGGCTATCATTTGACAAATCACCGTTAAATACCGGAAGAGTCTCGCTCAAGAAGAGACAACTAAATTTACCATTCATTACCGAGTCAGATTCAGCTTTACTGAAACTGTCGAAGATTGCCGAATGATTGTATACCTTGTTAATCTCTAGAATCAATAAAGTTTACATACTACGGTACTTTATATTCCGCATGGAAACTAACTAAACTAAAACTTCACAAAATCACAAAATGCAGAAAAATTTAAACTTTTAAAGGGGATATGTTCCAGCTTTTAACTAACAAGAATTGTGTTAAAAGTTATTTAAACCTCATAAAAGTTGAAGCCATTTTTAGGGGCTGATTTGGGTCTTAAAGGTATGTAGATTAGCTTCTAATGTACGCCTTCCTTCATAAAGACCTAAAACAAGAAATTTCATTTATTTTTTATTTCGTTCACACGCTTATCTTCTCTCTGAGTATTGGGGTATCTGCAAGTTTTGTTAATCTTTCGTCGCAGCTGTGCAGGTTGATTGAGTCTATTCTTCTATACACGTGACTTCAATAACTGATCTTCAAAGTCGAAACTTGGAAAAAGACGAATCGCTTTTTTAATATTCGAATATTCTGTATACAGGACAGAAAAAGCCAAAATTGTCATGGTAAACCGATTAGCTTATCTGAAAACGATTGACCCCCCTAAAATGGCGAATTTGTTAAAGGGATAGACCGCTCTATTTTCAACATGAGGAATTGCGCTAATTTTGCGTGAATCTATATATAAACGCTTTATATAGTTTCTATAAATTTACCTGGCCACCTACGAATCGTTTAGAACATCAAATTGTGATTGATACGAGGTCGGCGTTTTCTAGTAAATGGAAAGGAATTTCGAGACTACGGACATGCGCAGAATGTTTTGTTTACAAATGGCGATGAATTTTGATCGGAAATATCAACTTTGTGTACTTCTCCGGTTGTTACATGTAGATTATGGATTATTACCATTAAAGCAAAATTCACAAAATCACAATAATGAGAAATGAAAATAACGAAGATGGTCGCTAGTTTTATTTTCTATCGTGTCTTCCGGTCGGAAATATGTGTAGATTGATTGGTTTAATTGGTCCAATCAAAATTGAGTTCTCATAATCACTATTTTCCAGAAAAGATTTAAAATACTTACGTAACCGTTTAAGAATTATTTTATCGATTTTGACTTAACGCTTGGAATTTTCACGTTGAAACTTTCACAAAAGGCAAGGGGCATCTCCCTCTACGCGTTGGCATGAAGTATTATGTATTTCACGATCAAGACCACAAAAACTTATTGAAAAAGCCGATCTAGCCCTTCAATAGAGGGAGCAATCATTATTATATTAACTTAATTTTGCTTTTTTTAAAACGAACTAAAAACAAAAACTGTATTACAATAACAGCAAGTTTTAATTCTGATTTTATACCATAATGTAAATATTTCACTTATTGACTTGAAATATTAAAATATATTTAGTAGAGTAAATAATAATTTACTAAGAGGCGCTTGTATCAGGCACTTTCAGTTAAATATATAAACTACCCATCACTGAAACACAAAATAATGCCAAGAAAAGGCTAAATATAACAACCCACATAAATCAAAATTTCACAGATGCACGGTTGTGGTTGTTCAGGAGTGAATGCGTCTAGGAGAGCTTAAAGGGGTATTCCGCTTTTTTGTAAAACGTTTTTTTTATTAAAAACGTCGTAAATTATACCTGAAAAAATAATATTTCTAAAGTATGCTATATATATATCTATGTGTCTACTTAACCAAACCGAATTTGGTTTAAAAAGGGTTAATTAAAAATGGAGAGTACTACTTGTTTATTAAGCAGTTTGACCTAGTTTTGGTGTTTGGCTTTAATGGCTCGATGTTATAAGTTGAAACCTTTAGAAAACGTAAAAGACAGTCATATTTATCTACAATTAGGCGTTTATTTTACTCAAATCAGTACAGTAACTGGATTATTTTAATTAAAACTTTAAGACTCGTTAAACGGCACATTTCTCAAGATTTTGTTGTATAATTTTCACAAATTTGAGCAAAAAAAAAAAAAAATTTCGACCTACAAAAAAAGCGAAATGTCCCTTTAAAACCAACATTATTATTCCCAATCGAAGTTTCCTTACTGTCAAATATATAAACTAAAGATCACCGAAAAACAAAATAATGCCAAGAAAAAGGTATATATAAAAACCCACATAAACCAAAATTTCACAGATACACGGTTTACAAATGGATGCAACTCGGAGAACTTAGAATTATCATTAATATTCCCAATAGAAATTGTCTCTTTCACCAGCTTAAAAGCATCGTTCGTTTCTTTTTCCCAATCAAAGAAAAGCACTCTCGAAAATACGATACATGTCAGAATAAAGAACGAAATCATCAAGGCTATTACTATTCCATAATCATTCAAAGAAGTCCAAAACATGAGACAGCAAGCTAAAGGAATACCAACAAACCCAAACACTGCTAAATCGATGAGAGTTAAAAAAAATTGTCTATTACAGGCCCGAATAATTCCACCGACTATGTAGAAATTGGCATCAAAGAAATGACACAAAGCTATCATTATTACCAAAGGTCTCGATTCTCTGATAATAAATTCATCAGTGCTGTATAAGTTTGGTACTACATAGTGGAACGATACAATTATTACGGCGTCAAACACCGAAACGCTCATAGCCAAGAACATAGACGTCATCGCCGAGAATTTGGCATTTTTGTAATCGCCTTGGCCAAGATAATTTCCTATCTGGATTGTAACGGCAGTTGCCCCTCCAAATTCCATATTGTAAGCGAGATAAAAGATGTTGATAGGTATTAACAGTATGGACAGATATTGATGTCCAAGAATGGTCGAAAGTACTGTAAAAATTTCCACGCATATAAGTTCTAACATAATCAATACAATTGACGGAACTGCAGTTTTCAGAATACTTTTCCAATGCTGTAAAGCTTCCATAGACCATGGTCTCCAGGTTTCTTGGTACATATCGCTTTGTCTAATGTATACAAATAAAATAAGAGACCAAAGCCAATAGGTTATACTTAGGGATATACCAGATCCTGTAGCACCCAATCCGGACCATACTGTAAGCGGCAGAGCATATACAATGTGTAAAACATTCACTATTATTCCAACAATAACGCATGGCTTTACTATCTTCTGACACTGTAAATATTTCATTTCAATTATCATTACAGCATATCCCAAAAGTCCTGGTAAACACGCATAGATAAAGTTCCGTACGTTGTCGACAAATTGTTCACTCTTACCAAGCAGTACAAGTGCAGCAGGAAAATGAATCACCATGGAAGCAACCAAAAGAAACAGAAGGAGAGATATGACAAGACAGCGTTGAACTACAAGGCCAAGCGCAGATCGTTTGGAACTTCCATTAGCTTGTGATAAGAATATTTCACACGCCATCGCCATTCCATTTGATGCTGAAAATGCCACATTGAGAAAAGACTGTCCTAATCCTACAGCGTCAAAATCGTCGTTACTGACATGTCCGGCTAGCATGTAGCACACCACACTCGGGAGGGTAATAAACAGCTGGGTCGGAGCGGTTAATACCATAAGCTTCAAGATCTGTTTTAATTCGCTCCACAACTTCTCAAAAAAAATATCATGTTCCATTTTCTGGAAGACAAGAAACGCAATAAAAGTGATCACTACAACCTATAAGTCGGTTATTAGTAATTTATTGAACCATCAATGTGAACCTGGCACAATCCTCTCCATAATCACTGTGTTTAAGTGGTTTTTGAAACTATCTGAATCCTAAGCTTGACGTGGGTCCCATAATTGTCAAACTGGAACTTAATTCCGTTTTTTCGATTTTTACTAATATTTTTTAATAAACTTCTCATTATAAATTATTTATCTTATATTTTACAAAATAATTTTTAATTTAATTGTTACGCATTTGATTTTATATATGTAAAAATGAAATGTGTTAATGAGACGAACACGAGTGGTATCTCTCCATGGAGAAGCCGAGTATTTACAGAACTTATTTTTCAATTCGAAATTCACAGGTCTGAAGAAGTGGAGGCACGACCTAAAAATTTCGCCACTGTCTATTCTTATGTTTTGGTGATTACTAGCCTACCGCTTGTGTAGGTCTACTGCAAGGTTATTTTCACTTACGTAATATTAGTAAAATTAGAAAATACATTTCAGTGGATGCCGCAAAAACCCTCATACACGCTCTTGTTGTTTCACGAATTGATAATTCCTTGTTGTCTGGTGTTCCCAAGAACCTTATCCACAAATTGCAGAGTCCGCAAAAGACTTGTAACTAGTACCTCACAATATTATCATGTTATACACCTATTGGTCGAAAGCTCCACTAGTTACCTATATCTTCCAGAATTGATTATAAGATTATATTACTAGCTTATAAATGTATCAATAATCTTGTTCCACCACATTTAAATGATCTGCTCACTTTCTATCTTTAGAGACCTTCGATCGAGTAACGATAGTTTTCTTCTTTTTGGACGTCATGCTAGACAGAAGGGCTGTTCAACTTTGGAATAGACTACCATTTGTGCTCAAAAACATTCTATCCTTGTCAGTCTTTAAATCGAAATTAAAACACATCTGTTTATTGCTGCCTTCGTGTAGATTTTGCTTTTGTTTATTTCAATGATATTTTACAGAATTATTTTATTGCGGTTTTTATGGAATTTTCGCTACTGCACTTTTTTTCTTATTAAAAATGTTACCTTATATATAACCCAAATTTACTCTTGTTTTCTTTTATGTGTTTGTATTTTATTTTCACGCAGGTGAGAGATGCGCTTTATAAATGAATCTTAATAATAATAATAATAATTAAGTTTCGGGGAAGGGAGGGCCTGATTCTCCCAAATGTACAGTTCTAGGGTGGAAACCAAATAATTTATTGAGAACTTACCCCTCTGTCCCCCTTTGGCTCGGCCACTCGGTGGTTGTTGAGAATTTCAAATAAAGTGGGTCAAAAGGACAAAGGGGTATTACCTTACGTTCCCACTCTGCCATGAAATGGTTTGCGTACAAAGGGGCGAATCGTTTGCCCATAGCTGTCCCTGAAGTTTGTAGAAATGTTTTACCATTAAATGTGAAATCGTATAGCGACTGAGACAAATCTCTAAAAGCTGTAGAATTGCCTCGCCGGGTCTGCTTGTCCAACCCTGAAAATGTAAAAGTCATCGCATAAAAATTGCACAAGTACTGCCCCGAACAACTTAGCATGTCAAAAAATGCCATCCCACGACGGAACTAATCTAAAGGTATCTGTTCTCAAGAAGTGGCTATCCTATCCTGCCTTTCAGTTCCTGTTCAGTCAGTTTGTCCCTCTGACCCCGGTACACCTCTACCTTAAGAGAATCCCAAATAGCATAATCCATTGGATTGCAGTCTGGGGTTGGGGGCTAGCCATTCTTGTGAATAAATTCTGGTGTAGCCTACTCCAGATATGCTTGGGATACTTTGCTAGTATGCGAAGGGCCTCGTCTTGTTGGCATGTCGGGATAGGAAAACGGTTGCGATTGATGGTTGAAGAAGATGGAGGGCACATTGAACACAGGTTGAAATAAATAAGTTGCCTTGACATTGCATTTTTGACATGCTAGTTTGTTCGGGGAAGCACTTGTACAATTTTATTCTATGACTTTTTTATTTAAAATATAATAACAGGCAGACAGACAATATTCTTTCAGGAATGAAACATATATAATATATACATATTATACAAAGATAATAGTAGGCCTAATATAACATACAATAGAACAGAATGAAATAGTTGAATATTTACTTTAATTCTGCCTCTAGCATATTTTTAAAGCACATAAAGTGATGACGATGACCTTAAAATGAAATCATCGATGTATAAAAAAACAGTTCGCTAAACAACCATATGTGCATAATTACATACATAACTTTATGATAAATGAATATATATATACATATAACAATTGATACAAATATTCAATACAAAATAAAAGAGTACTAATTAACTTAAAGATGGGTTCCCTTATTTTCAAAGGTCAAAAAGTCTTTTTTTTATCCAAACTGTAAATACATGGACATTTATGATTGGTTAAAACTCTTAATTATGAACAGAATACATGATAATTCATTAGAAACACCAATTAATAAATAGTTTGCTTAATTTGACACCAAAAAATAAGGAAACCCAATTTCAAGATTGTTTTTTTATAAATCTTATGACTTGACTAATAAAAACTCAACAAATGTTTTTACTAAAGAATAAAACGTAATCCATTAAAATATTTTACACTCATCCCTCATTTATAAAAATGCAATTTAAGGGAATTTAGTAACTTAACCTTAATCTTATACCCATACTTTTTCTCGACCCTTTGATTATTAGAGTAGGTTATTATCCGATACACCTACTCTTTTGTGAATTATATGGTGTTGAGAGCTGTTTATGGAATATCCTGTGAACTCACTGGTTCGCCCATTATTAGTAGCCAATCAAAACATCGATAGAAATCTGCACGTGCCTTTCAGGTCATGAAATTCAGCGTTAATACATATCAATTGATAATTATTCGTTCTAGTTGTATGGGGCCCTAACGAGAAGATTTCACAAACTTTCACATTATTTTTATACGCCCACATGAAATGGGGGGCGTATATTGCCGTCACCCATGTCCGTCCGTCCGTCGGTCCGTCCGCCCGTCCGTCCACAATTGCTCGTAAACATTCTACAAGACACAATTCTTGACGGATTTTGACGAAACTTGGTATGAGTGGTTGTAATTACCCAAGGATAAACCCTACTGAAAATCAGAAGAATCGAAAAATATTTAGTATGAGTTATTGCCCTTGTTCTTGAAAACGCGTTCAATTTTTAGCTTAACTCTAGAAGGGACAATTCTTGACGGATTTTGACGAAACTTGGCATGAGTGTTTGTTATCACCCAAGGATAAACCTTATTGAAAATCAGAAAAATCATAAAATAATTAGTATGAGTTATTGCCCTTGCTATTGGAAACGCGTTCAATTTTCAGGAGGTAATCAATCTAGAAGGCATAATTGTTGAACGGATGAACCCTATTGAAAATCAGAAGAATTGAAAAATGTTTAGTATGAGTTATTGCCCTTGTTCTGGAAAACGCTTTCAAATTCAGCTCTTAAACACTAAAAGGCATGATTCTTACTGGATTTTGACAAAACTTGGTTTCATTATTCAGCCCCGCGCTGAAGATTGAATATTTGCCTTCTAGAGTTTTCACGAGCTAAAAATTGATCAATATTATTCAGTATCGCCCTAAAGAGTTCAAAAGAATTGTATGACTGAAGGTTGAATATTTCATACTGGTGATTGTTACTGTACTGCTAAATATTTTTATTCAAAATCAAAGCTGCCAGTGGGCGTATATTACCTTGCCTGGCAAGCTATCTTCTTTCAAATTTATTAAATTATCATCAGTATTTAATTCTCGAAAATGTATGTTGTATAAGTCAGTTATATACATGGTTTTCGAGGTGTATGGGCTGCTACAGCTACTATTTTTCGAGTGAGATTCACTCGAGTAAGTGTATTAGCCCATACACCTTGATTGATGAAAATAAAGTGGAATTTGTGTATATGTGAATCTGCCTCTAAATTATTCGTGTTGGAGAAAAGAGAACAACCATCGCCTGAAGTCAGTCAGTCGTATAGGCAGATTCACGTAGCCTATGATATAGTGGATACCAGTCCTGATAGTATAAACAACTAGTCAACGTCCAACCCTGCAAATTACTATACCGCAAGTTGAGAAACAACGCTACACAGCTGTGCATAAACGAAGTGAGGCAGGATGGTTGAGTTTATTCTATACACGCGACGTCATAAACCAATCTTCAAAAGCAAACTTGCCAAAAGTTGAGTCATTTTTTTACTTTCAAACATGGAAAATTATGGATGCAAATGGCAAAGAAGGCTAAAATTTCGAAGGTAATCTGTGAATCTTATAACAAATTAGCTAAGCTGAAAATTTCCGTTTTTTGAAACCAGGATACCATTGACCCACGAAAATGGCAAAAAATATTTAGGAACTTCTTTTCCTTCTTATGTTTTTCCTATATATGGCAGTATCTAAAAAAAAAAAAGACAACTCGTCTTTAGAATTATATATAGACACAGCTTTATGGAACAACAATCACTGGTTAAAGTTTTATGCAACGCCATGTGTGTCCAGAATTATTCGCGTTTGAAAGATTCTAAAGACAAATTGTTCACTCTTACCAAGCAGTACAAGTGCAGCAGGAAAATGAATCACCATGGAAGCAACCAAAAGAAACAGAAGGAGAGATATGACAAGACAGCGTTGAACTACAAGGCCAAGCGCAGATCGTTTGGAACTGCCATTAGCTTGTGATAAGAATATTTCACACGCCATCGCCATTCCATTTGATGCTGAAAATGCCACAGCATTGAGAAAAGACTGTCCTAATCCTACAGCGTCAAAATCGTCGTTACTGACATGTCCGGCTAGCATGTAGCACATCACACTCGGGAGGGTAATAAACAGCTGGGTCGGAGCGGTTAATACCATAAGCTTCAAGATCTCTTTTAATTCGCCCCACAACTTCTGAAAAAATATTTCTTCTTCCATTTTCTGAATGACAAGAA